TGGGTTAATATTCTGTGTTATTTGAAAAATTTACCCGTTTCCAAACACGAGCAGAAAGTGAAACACTGAAATCTCTCATACGCACATACATGCATATACCTGAACAGTCAATTGTTAAGATATTCGTTAACGAGTAATGTTCCTCGATTTTTTGCTTGATAATATTATGTTTTTATTGTCAGTGAAACATTCCAAGAGATGACCAGAATATTTAATGCATAATTAGCACGCGTACAGACAATTGATTGTTTAGCATTCGTTTTAGAATGTAGATTTATTTATGGGATTAGCATGAGACCGAGTAATTCTTCATTTTTGAAGAAATAGTAAATAAAATTAGAAATAGAATAACAATGAAGAGTTATAGGCCCTCAGAATTTATTTTCTATGTACAGAGATTGCGTATCGTCGTCACTTGTGGCCTTATAATGATGGATTCTAAAGAAATCAGCTGATACTAAGTAAATAAAAAAAAAGGAAGGAAAAAAATACTACGAAATTATCATCTATAAAATAATGTCTATCCTAAGAGTTGGATTTGCTGTTCAATAAATTGTTCTGTAACAGATTAGATCAAACTTTCTGGAAGAGAGAATTTCTTTCGGTGCTCCGAACGTTACACTATCAGAGACAAGTATCACACAATATTATTGCTAAGTAAAAATTCCTTGTAATATTGTTACGATACCGTCTGCCTACACTCGTTTTTTTTATGGTAAGCTTTATGTTCAATCACCGACGAGATGTCGGTGGTTCAATGTAAGAATGTTACCGGAGGAACGATTGGCGCTTGCAGCTTTATCCACGTTGATCAACATTTTCGCGAGCAGTCTTATGCGTACGTCTCTATGCAAACTACATTAACCGTGCGCATAATAAATACATGATTCAACAGCAACAAGTATGAGTAAATAAGCCGAAGTTACATGGCCATTTCGCACGCGCGCGCGCGCGCGCTTGTGTGTGTGTGTGCGCGTGCTGAGTCATATATTTAATTCGACAAAACAATTCGAACGTACGATTTACTGGTGTATAATTAAGAAAGACGTCTAAGAGGAATCCAGCCCTATCTCGTGGACGAAAATATATTCATTGTTCCACTTGTTGTGCGCTTTCTTACGAGTCTTGCCGCTAGTGTAAATGAAAACCAGCGTATACATACAATACATACTTCCACGGATTAAGATTTGCATACGTTCCGGTTACCGGCTTATAGGTCGCGTCCTGCGGTGTTAGCGGTTTATCTAAAACTTTCTGAATCACGTTAATCCATTGCGATCTGTCGTTGTCGCCTTGCGCAGAGAGCAGGTAAGTCCGGTCGGGCGTTTTGAGAGTGAACGAAAACCCTTGATCTCTAGCACCCGGCGGTACGCCCGTCTTTACTGCGAAACCCTCGGTTTCTGTGAACTGTGCCCAAAAAAAATTTCACCCTTTGGATGAACGTCCTTTAAAAGACAAGAGGAAGACAGGGCGATGTAGGGATGTTGCAAGTAACACGAAAGCATTAAGTAAAAGTTTATAGAATCGTCTATGACGTACCATAGGGTCGTCATGGTACATGAGTTTTCTGCCGTCTAGCGTGAACCATCTCTTTTTATAAGCGTCTGTATGCCTCGGGCCAGTTTTCCACAGGAAGCCCTCGCGCGAGAAATCCCTCGTAAGTTGCGACAGTAACTCGTTCTCACCCGGATACGCCACTTGCAGACGGTGCAGTTTCGCGCACCTAATGGCGAGGTATCAGTTCGTAATTACCTCCGAATCCTCGTGATACACGTAGATATGTCTCGTCGTGCCGTCCTTAATAAAGGACAGCTGAAAACTATTCTGATTACCAGTTTTAGATGGCGCAAATGCCACATTTAATTCTGATATCCTAGAATAGCTTTGGGTTCCTTGAAGTAAACGGGAGATTAAATATTTTCGCTCTCTCTCGGACATTCGCGAACTGCAACTATCTCATTCGCGTTGTTTTCTTTAACGTGATACTTGAGAGTGTCCTCCGCCTCGCAAAGTATGAACTATCAATATCTGCATTGATATCAGCAAATGTTTCTTCGAAGCAGATATTTCCTTTTCTTAACAAAATATTTCCTTCGTAGCCAAAACCTATTTTGCGCATCTAAACATATATTTCGTTAATCTTAGTAAATGTCTGCGTTCATATCAGCAAATGTTTCCTTAATTCTTGAAAATATGTACTTTATTAAAGCAAATATTGTTTCTTAAAACTAATAAATATTTTTCAGGTATCCCTCAAAGAAATAATTTTCTTGAAGCAAGTAAAATTTTTTTGTTTTAAGTAATTTTTTTTCTCAGTGTACAAACGAGTTTATAAAGGAGAGGTGAGGCGGGGATATAATGGGATAAGTAGATGAAGTGTACGCGGACCTTTTTTCTCTCAAAGAAACGACGTGGTCATGCGATATATGGTTTTTATTATGTAAAATGTAAACTCGGATGTGACGATTATCGGACATGCAAAGATCTGAATCACGAATCTCTTTCTCCCCCCCCCCTCTCTCTCTCTCTCTCTTTCTCTATCTCAATCTGATTACACTTACTCAAGTGCATGCTCAACGATACGGGAGAGCTTTGTAAAGAGCCACTTCATAGATATTCTCGACAGTCTCATCTTCGGAGGACGCGCGCCGCTTACGAGAGATTTACTGGAAATTTTTAATTAAAGACGAGTGTTTAAGCAATCAAGGATAAATTCCTTTGGTATGAAAACAATAAATTTATTTAAATCTAAGAATCGCGAGCGTTCACGAGCCCTGGCGTAGTGCTGCCACCGTAATCATTAATTGTGAATTACAATCGGTTCGTTGGAATTCTCGTCGGTCGAGACAGAACGTTTCCGGAGCTCACGGCGTGAGCATCCAACGCTAGACCTCGGTCTTTCTGTACTACCTTAATAAAGTTGTGACTATTAACAAGTGTGAGTTCTTGTCCCCACCACGATTACGTGCAGTGGATTGTTGCGGAAGCGATCGGAAGTTGAATCTCACGAAAAGTCACGCGATCGGAAGTTGAATCTCACGAGAAGTTACAAACAACGAGCTAAGTGAAAAGTTTCGTTTCAATTGGCGAATATTTTGATCTCGAAAATATTCTATTGTGAGAAATTAATGACGTGAGTAGAAATTCACAAACTTTGCAGGAAATTTATAAGCAAAAGTCCAATTAAAGACAGAATTAAATCAACCGAAATAAAAATTATAAAATAATTCGAAATTAGTCGGTTTTTGTACATAATGTACAATAATTAGATGTAGGGTAACTGTCCCTATTAGTGTGCCCTGTACCTATTAGTGTGCTTTTATATTTAAATAAGTCATAAAAATAAACTGGTACAAATAAATAGACAAAGTATATTTTTTCTATAAAGTTAATACTCTAACTTAATAAAAAAAAATACTTTGTCTATATATTTGTACCAGTTTACTTTTATGACTTATTTAAATATAAAAGCACACTAATAGGTTCAGGGCACATTAATAGGGACAGTTACCCTATATTGAATGTAATATTGTAATAATTGTACAAAATAATTGTATAAAATGTGTAACAGAGGGTACAAGAGCGAAAAGTTGCTCTTGAAGTAACTTAAGACGCGCCTTCGTGCGAAATCTTTGTAGTAAATTGTTTGAAAATAGCGCGGGTCTTCCCCCTTCACACATAAAGAGTTCACTCGTAAAAAAACGCAGCCGACAAAGAACCACAGCAGCCGCAGCAATGCAATCTCCAAATACAATACATACATAGAAATCGCGTTATCGATATGTGTGGACACCCAGTAAAATTCTACAAACGTTTCCAACGAAAGTCCTATGAACAAATTTTATTTTATATTTTTAATACGTTTTCTTATATATTATTTTCTCTTGTCATCTTCTTGTTGCCAATTGCACTATTACTAAAGCCTACCATACATATATGGACAGTGCTATAGA